ATTTCAGAACTTTCTATGTCTAAAATATATACAGGACTTATAATTATCTCATTCTGTAGATTGTGTTGCTTGTGAATCATCAAATCATGAAACTCTTGCGATTTTGAATGAATAAAACATTCAGATTCCACATCTGAGGTTGTGGACTAGAATGTTCCTCCCAGGCATTTTACACACCCTGGCCCCATATCGAAACATACATTTCCTCTGTTCCTGTGGATAGAGATGCATAGAAATATAGTGAATCCAACAGCATACATTCAAAATTACTCATGAAGTTGTTTCACTGATCTTTGAAGTCAGTGTCATCCATGGGAAGATTTTCAAGGCCTAAACTCCACATTGAAGAGGGAAGGCACGAGATACAGTGGTGCCTTGCTAGACAGTTACCCCGCATGAGTTTTTTCACTAGACATTGACTTTTTGCGATCGCTATAGTGATTCGCAAGTGATTCCTATGGGGGAATTTCGCTGGACAATGTTTGGTCCCTGCTTCGCAAACCAATTTTCGCTAGATGACAATTTTGACAGCTCCCCCTGCGCTCGCAAAACAGGGGTTTTCGGGACCTAAGCTACGCAAGACAGCAATTTAAGCAGCTGATCAGCGGTTTGCAAAGCAGCTTTCCTATGGCCGATCTTCACTAGACAACGATGATTCTTTCCCATTGGAACGCATTAAACAGTTTTCAGTGCATTCCAATGGGGAAATGCTTTTCACTAGACAATGATTTTGCTAAACTGTGATTTCAGTGGAATGGATTATCATCGTCTACCAAGGCACCACTGTAAACCACAAGTGATTTTAAAAAACCCAACACTGATACTGGTGTCTATTCAAATTCTCTGCTGCCTATCCAGATTCTCCAGTTTTTGTTGTAACAGGCCATCAAGTTGCTTCAACTTATGGTGACCCCATGAATAAGCATTATCCAAAATGTCCTGTTCTCAAGCTCTTGCTGTCCTCAGCTCTTGCAGACTCAATTCTGTTTCTTCTATTTGGTCTTTCTCCTTTCTTACTGCCTTCAACCTTTCCCAGAATTGTTGTATTCCTATGAGAAATGGTGCTTTGAGTTACAACCATCATTCAGAACGAATTAAGTTCACAACTCAAGGCACCACTGTACTGTCATAAAAGTAGCTTCTTGTCTACAATACAGGTTACACATCAGGACAATCAAGTGCTTAAGCATATTCATTTTAGAATATCCCATAGTTTCTCATGATCCACACAGCCAGTTTACTTTGCTGAAGTGTATGAAGCATAGACTAGTCTTCAGTAATTCTTTTGTGCACGCTCCAGTAGCCAGTGGATATTTGCAATATGATTTTAAGTGCATTTTCCTTTTCAGAATCCAGTTTGACATCAGGCATTTCTTGTTCCGTATAAGGTAAAAGCTTTTGTTGCTTTCATGTGAAATTAGAGCAGTAGCCCTACAATTACTGTGTGCTTCCCTGTTGGTCACTCAGTTTTCCTAATCTAGGCTTAGATTCCCCCTTACATTCTTGGATCTTCTGGAAGAGAGATCTCTTGGTTCCTCATTTTCCACCCTCTCTTTCTTTGGACTGATTGTTTTAGTAGTTCTCTTTGTCTGTCTGTGAAAGTCACTGAAAATTGCATTCAGGGTTCTAACCGCCTTCTACTTTTGCTTCTCACCTGTCCTTTACAATTGTAAGTGTTTCTTCTGACATCCATCTAGGTTTTTCTTTTTACTATATAAATTATTTGGCATGGTTGCAGTTTGCTGGTCAGTCTTTCCTCTTTACAGCCACTCAGCCATGCTGTTCTTGCCCATATGGGAGTGGGAGAGCCCAGAGGGTTAGGTACCCAGAATTAATATGCCAACCTTGCAAGGTAGCTGCCACCACACACATACAAACCCTACTCCTAAAAAATAAAATACAAGTAGCTGGTTGAAGCAAGGATTGATTTTATTAGTAGAAATGTCCTATCAGTCAAAAATCACATCACAATTTCACATCTGCTTACTATATTTACTGTGTTCATGTGCAAGAATAAGACTTACATGACATGTGCACATCCTAGTCAAAAACATCATGATTCCTGAAAGATAATCTTGATTGCAAAGAAAGCTGACATGTGAGCATCAACCTTTGACTGCCTGATATTTGCGGATCAGCTGTTAAAAAGTCACCTCCAAACAAAACTAAAAGCAAGAATTTTTTTAAAAAAATCTTTTACTAATGAATTTATCATGGCAAAAGTTTTTATGAACAAAATACCACTACATTTCTATTAGGTGATACAAAATTTAATTCCTGCACAGCAGCAAAACAACACAGCTACCCCTGTGGAAGTTAATAATAAGACTCATGGTAGACTGAGAACAGTTTGCAATAAATTGATAGATAAGAGTTGGCATGCAATGAACTTTAAGACAGTAAAGAAGCTGTAGTTTCCAATTTGGGACTTTGGTTTGATAACATTTGGCATATGCAGTTACTTTTTTCTGTTATATGAAAAGGTTCCCTGTGAAAATTGTACAATTATTTATATTGTATATTGAAAGCATTATGTTTGTATTAAGTTGAAACAATTAAATACAGCCATTTGACAAACTTTATCTCAAGGTTTTTTTTAGTATTTTTTAAAATGTGCTTGTGAGTCAATTAAATCTTTAGCTAACATTTTGGAGGTAATTATGTTCAGCACTGTAACACTTTTGCTGAAAAACTACATAAGACAACTGTGGGAGGGGGAGGAAAACATTTTTAAAATTTCATCTTGGAAAAATATTTCCTTGGCTAAATGATTAGCAGCTGCTGCAAGAACTCATTGCCTTTTTCCCCCCTATTCTTAGCATTTTAAACTAGGGAACGGGCTAGCTTATGTTTTTGTTGTTGTTGCTAATATTATAAGGCCTTCATTGAGGAGTAAACTGTTCTGCCTGTGTTCCCTTGTTAATCTTTGAGATTGCGATTTGCTAGCATTCCAAAGGCAGCACTGTGTCCTTGATCTTAATTTCCTCTGTAGCCACACAGTTCAAGATGGAGTTAGTGAGGCAACATCAACAAAACATTATGTCCTGATACAGTGTCTCCATTGTACAGAACTTCACATGTAACTAACATCTCTTGACATCTGATGTGGAGTGTTCTGTCCCAATCTGCTAAGAGTTCAGTGCATTACAAATCTGACATAAGATTTTTCCAAAATAACAGAATGTTTTCTGAATGTTTTCTTCCTCTTCTCCCTTTTAAGAACAGTAAAATCTTCTTACAGTTGTTGAAGCCCTGGAGAGGGTAAAAAGAATAATGTTTTATTTCAAGTTTCTTACCATGTCTGTAGAAGTACTGTGGCGTTCTAAAATGTTGACCCTTATCAACCCAGAAACATAGGTTTTATGTCATAAAAGTGATATTGCGTATTTCAAAACTATTTGTGTGTTTTGGTCTTGGTCTTAATACTGCTGTGTGACTGTCAAGGTTTCCATGTATGTTATTTAAAGCAAATTAATTAAAATGGTCTTTCAAGTGACGCAAACAAAACTTGTTCATTTTTTGGGGGGGAATGATTCTGTTTACTTCAGCAATGATGGTGGGTGGGGTGGTGAGCCATAATATATTGAAAAGTTTCCTTTGGAAGTTCAACTACTCTTGAATTCCTTTTACTATAAAAGAAAATGTGACATTTAAAGGTCAGGGATCTGCCTGCAGAACTGTGAAGAATGATGTTATAAACTTTTTATAGAAGAATCATCACTTGTACAGAATTATTCATTAATTTAGTATCTTAAAATGTTTTCAGATGTGAAAGTGTGGGGGCTCCTACAAATACAGTCAGCAACAATTCATTGTGTTGACTTAGACAGTGGTTCTCAAAATGAGGCCTGCCGTGATAGAAATTGAAAAACTACTTTTTCAGAGAAGGATTTTAGTATGTTTCCAGTCATACTGTAGTTATGTTTATCAATTACAATAAGTTGATTAGTGGGGAAATTTATTTATTCATTTATTTATTTATTTATTTGTTTGTTTATTTATTTATTTAATTTATATGCCGCCCACACTATCCAAAGGTCTCTGGGTGGCTTACAGCATTTAAAATACAATAAAGATATGTACAATTAAAATACAATTAAAATATATATAAAATTGCCATCAGACCCACAGCTAATATTATTTCAGTTAAAAACCTTCTGGAACAGGAAGGTTTTGACCTGGTGCCGAAATGTCATCAGTGTCGGCGCCAGGCGAATTTCAGTTGGGAGGGCGTTCCATAGTCTGGGGGCAGCTCCCGAAAAGGCCCTTTGTCTGCAAGCCATCCCTCTTACCTCCTTGAGGGACGGCTCATTCAGAAGGGCCCCCTTGCTAGATCTCAACTGCCGGGTAGGCTCATATGGAAGGAGGCGGGCCTTCAGGTATCCAGGGCCCAAGCCATTTAGGGCTTTATATGTCAAAACAAGCACTTTGAATTGGGCCCGGGCAGCAACTGGTAGCCAATGTAACTTATACAGAGTCGGCTTGATATGTTCCCTAGCGGCCACACCACTCACCAGCCGTGGGGTGGTGGGGAGGGTTTGGGAGGAACAGTGATTGTCCAACGATATTATTAGCATTCCAAAAGTTCACAGATGAATGATCTGTGACATTCCTACTAACCCTAGATGTCACAGATTATTCATCTGCAAACTTCTGGCATGCTAACAGTAACTGACAGGAGGCCAGAGAGAGTAATGGGCAGTAATTATTAGTAAGAATTATTAAACCCTTTTGTGTCACTTCCAGTACCTTTGTATACCACTGTTGATGTTCAGTACTAGTTGAGAGCAACTGGACCAAGATGCAATGTTGCCATTTTCCCACTAAAGTTGTGAGTTGTGGCAAGCTCACTTGTGTGTTTCTGAAAGTTTGTAGGATTTTCCATTAAAATGCTGGTATTTTATTTTATTTCCACTTGATTTAGCAAAAGTTACCATACACAATTATAATGAACGAGGAAAGGAGAGACATCTTGACACTCTCTTCTGTTTCATTTTCAGCGGAGCCCCTGCCTTTAATGGACCTGTGCCGAAGATCAATTCGCTTCGCTCTGGGCAGAGAACGCCTGCATGATATAGAAACTCTACCCTTGCCTCAGTCTCTGAAAAATTATTTACAATATCAGTAATATGATTCTAGATCTCTCAATGGTAGAAATTGTTTACATCAGAATATAAATCTTCGTGGTGGATATTTTGAGTGTTATTTAACTTTTTTTTGTTACACTTTTTTTAAAAAATCAACCATGGCAGAACATTATGGAGACTACTATGGAATGTGAAAGCTCATTGAACTGGTTCGGTTCTTTCAGTGAAAACAATTGTTGCCTACACTGTTAGCAGCCTTGTTATGCAGAATCCAAAGTATGTCTTCAGAAGGCAGACCCAAAGTCAAGGTGCAGATCTGACACTGGATGTGCATCACATGAAAAGATAATCCTCATAAGCAGCCCCTATGGAAGGGGGACAGATATATTTTTTGTACAGGTTACTGTATGGCTAGAAAAAGAAATGGCCACTGTTTGAATGTTTCTCAAGCACCAAGATAGTAACTCCGCATGGAGATATCACTAGTAGACAAGGCAAGGTGTTGCAGTTCCTGTACATATCAGCTGTGAACCAAAGTTCTTTACAGATAAGCTCAATGCAGAAATTTGCCCACTTGCATGCAGGACTAAAACTGGGGAAATCACCATACACATAGGGGGCCTGTGGTCAGGAATACAGCCTGTATTCCTGACCGCAGCAGCTCTGTCACATGGTTACAGAGTCATACAGCTCTAGCATTCTTCTGCATGCATAATGACATGGGGGAAGAGCTACTTGTGCATCGATTACTCTGTCCCAGTTTTCGCTCTGCCCACAAGGAGCTGAATAACTGACTAGGGCTTTAGGGGCTGCTTGCTCTCTTTTTTGAAGAGAGACACTCTTGTACATACACCAGATTCCTATGTGTACTGTTGAAGGGAATAGGAAAGGAACCCTTATGCACATGGAGCATTGGAGCTGCATCAGGACTGCTAGATTGTGGCCTTTACTTTGAGGTGCTCAGCTTTTTCAGAAAACCTTTTTTTTTGATACACCACCTGCCATTTTTTAAATTATATCTTAGAATGGCTGTGTCTTGATTTTTGAAGGTAGTTGAACCTCCGCCTTTCCAAAGGAACTGAGGTCAGTCTGCCAAACAGTTAAGTCAACATACTTTCTTGAGCTGGTTTTTTTTCCCCTCCCCTTTAGCAGGATGACATTTGCTCAAGTCAGTGTTCTGTAGCTTAACCTGTCGCTGATTAGGCTACATATCCATTCCTTTTCAGTATTTCCATACTCTGTCATATTGCATCAGTTATGAATTTTGAACAGATTTTGTTATATGTCCCACATTACTTCCAAATATTGATTTTAAAAATAAAATAAAATATGTATGTGATATGAGCAGTGTTCATGTAAAGCTTTCCACACATTCATATCTGCATGCATCAAGATTCTCAGGGTTGCACAAGCTGGAGCTAGTCTGCTGCTGGAGCTGTGTGCCACCCCCTCTTATCCATGATGAGTGTCCAAAAACTGTGGAGGAGTAAGTGCCCAACATGTGCTAATGTACAGAGCTCCTAAGCCGAAAGGGGCACCTTGTTTGAGATGGTGTTTCCTTGAGTGTAGGAGCTTTCCACACATATATTTTGTGCACTTGAAGAACTCAATCTCACAAATATCTATTGGGCATTAATCTGTGGAGGGGTTCAGGCAGTGGATATGGTAAGTCCATAAAGCCATCTCCAAGTGATCTTTCAGTACACAGAAGGGTCGTGCTTTGTTTACCTGCTCAAGTTCTGTAGAGCATACCATATTTTTCATTTTCTCTCTGAAAGGGGGTGGGGGGAGTGGTTGCTCCCTTCATTGCTTACAATGTCTATCCATTCATCAGGATCAACTTATTTTTAAAGACACTGCTTGTCTTTTTTTGCTCCATTTCTTGCTATGTGCAAAGTTCTCTGCCTGATCAGTTACCTAGTTTTTAACTGGAAGTTGTAATGGCAGTATGTCGAATGTTTAGACTGAGCTGCCTTCAGCATATTTTAATGTGAATTTACCGAAGAATGAAGAAGTTTCTAATAAAGTCTACTGTCGAAATTGCTGTTGGTATTTGCCTCTTGTATCGTCACCCACCCTAAATTACTTGCATGGAACAATAACAATACAACTGAGTTCATTTTTGAACTGAGATAGAAAAGCATCTCTGCCATCGAGGATTTCTACAACAATGTTTTTCATACACCTGTATTTCCATGGGAAAGATCTCATGTGGGAGTACATATCTTCATCAGACAAGGTTTGTTTTTGCAGATAATGGATAAAAGGGCCTGGTGTTATTTTCATTGTGCCTTCAGTCTAGCCCCTGGTCAGTCCTGTTTCCTCCTATCTCAATTTGCTGCTTCACTGTTTGATTTTATGTTACCTTTTGCATCATTCTACATCTCAGACAATTTCTTCCAGAACACAGAGACATAGGCTTGAAACAGTATGATCTAACTGCATGCTTGATGCAGACTCTGAATCACAGAATCAACCTACAGGATCCCAGACAGATGGCCATCAAGATTTTAATTAAATACCTCTAATGAAAGGAAACCCACCACCTCCTGGGACAGTCTGTTTTCCTGCCAAACAGCAATCCCTCTCATGGTTGAAAGACTTTTCCTTATGATAGAGCTCTTTCCAAAAGCCTAACAGCCTGATACATTTGCTTAGAAACAATTGTGATCACAAACGTACATCATGGTCACATTGAAGAGCATTTTAACATAGATAATCCACACTGAAATTCATTTTGTGTGTCTACATTAAACCTCACTGAAACACATTTTGGTAATATTTGTCTAATCTGTTGGGTGCTAAGGTTGAGACAGGATGCTTGGGTATAACATATTCATCCATTTAACCCAATAAATGTATTTTTCCCTGCTGTTCAGAAGAGAAACTGTCTCAAGAACCTCTCCTTAGAAATAACCCAAAGAGACTGTAAAATGACACTTTATACATAGCTCTCCTCTAAATGCATGAGATATCATTTGGAATATACTGTATATAAAAATTAAATGCTTTTTTCATTCCTCCAATGGATAATTTTTAAAAACAAATCTGGCAAACCAGTGTCAAGAACAAGATAATTAAATATTGGCCAGAATCTTATTGGTTTACTTATTCCAGCTAAATGTACTTGCTGAAATTGTGATAAATTGCTGCTTGCATTCCTGGTTGCATTTAGGTTACATAATTTGGCACTAAAGCAGGTGTACAAGAAATTAATTAGTGGCAAATTGCTGCCACTTGTTCTGTGGCTACATTTAGGATTTACGATTAGGATTCTGGCCTATGAATGTTGCATAGTTTTTAAAAAATGGTTGTTAAACAAAAGATCCTTTTTTTTAATGCAGTGTTTGTGTTACAGCCTTCAGGGAATCAAACTGTACTTCATTTTTAGGATTTCACATATCCAATTTTGTCAGATCTATGTGACATGTCCTCTAAATAGCTTTCCGTGACCAATATGTCAGGAAAGCATAGTAGGTTAAGGGCTAGATGACTGTTTCACCCTGTATGTTGTCCTTTGTCAAGCACATGTTTGTCCCATTCCATTGCTGCAATAGCTTGTGACAGTACAAGTGCACACAATAACCTGCATGTATTTTTGTACATATAAAAGAATGTGTATATTTTTGTTTGCAGTTCACCAAATTATACACTTAAAATATATGCTTTTATGCCATTTTTCCTGACAGATGCAGTTTCACACACATTGCTTGAACAGAGAACTGCATTCCTAAATTCAGATAAGTGCAGAAAAGCCCTTTTATGTTTAAGTTTGGAAAGTGAGGTTTTGTATAAAAATTACAAATAAAACTAATTTCCCTCCATTTCAGCAATTAGTTCATTCAGCGTAAGACTGCTGCTAGAAGGGATGTTGCCTAATCATGTTCCCTCTTGGAATCCCAGACTGCAGCCTTTGTATCTGTCATAATTCCATCTCATGATGAGGAAATGGAACCATCTTTTGCCAGATATGAAACTCCCTCCTTCCTAGTTTGACCATGCTGTTCGGAGAGGAACCATTGCTTTCGGTAGCACATTTCTCGGAGTTCATCTTCAGCAGTGTGTTTTCACATGCATGAGATAACATGGAGACCATTAAAAACCCCAAGGGAGGTGGGGAGGGAGAGAACAAAACCTTCTTGGTGGTCGCCCCTCAGGTTTGGAATGAGCTGTCAATATGATTTCTCACCTTACTTTTGAGGAAAAGAAAAACTAAAACCTGAAAGGAAAAAACACTCTAACATTCCATCCTCATTTGCTAATACACTCCTAGGTATTCTATTTTGTGCTGGGTTCTTTATACACAAGCTACAGCTCATACTTCAATGCACAAGGTGAAGGCATTTTTGTGGTATGCACGAAAGACCATTATTATTGACATAAATGAGTCAAATCAATAGTAACATCTTGTGTAATACTATCCATTAATCTAAGAGCAGGACCACCTAGATTTGATGTTTCTATGGGAGAATATTCAAGCACATAACTGCAAGAGATCCTGGACCTGTCCAGATATTTTGGACTACAACTGCCATAAGCCCCAGCCTGCTGTGTTTGATGGGAGCTGTAGTACAAAACAACTAGAGGACACCAAATTACCAGCATATCACCTGTATTCCAGTAATCCTAGGACATCAGACATGTTCATTCAAAAACAAAATGTGTTCAAGGTGAGCAAAGCATCTTCATGAATTCATAGTTCTTCCTCATGGTCTCTGTAGATGCACACAAATAGGTTTTAGTGCACTTGCACAGAGACTTTTGGAAACTTGCAGAGCTTTTACACAAGAAGACTCCCAAAGATTAAGGGCAGTAGAGCTGGATAATCACAATGGGACAGCAAAGAGAAATGAAGAAAGAGACCAACAAAAATCGGGGGCAGCTACAAAAATAAGAACACGAACAATTTATTTTGGATATCGAAAACACTACCAATAAAACACTACTACAAAAAATACTATTCAAGCTCTGGAAGTCAATCAAGAAATAAGCAAAAGAAATACCATCAAGCAAGGATAGAAACCATTTCTCTATTTTGAACTACAGGCCATGCCAGATGGGGCTTCTGGGTGTTAAACATAGATATGGAAGGCTATAGCAGTATAATTCCATCATACAAGCCTGTCATGCAAAATTAGATGACATAGGCCAAACAGTACCACCACTAGAAATCCAAGCCTGTGATTCAATTAAAGGATCATATGATCCCACCCCTATCACCATCGTGGAAAATATTAATTTGTCTCTATTTTTGTTTTGGTTTAGTTTACAGATATGTGCACTTTGGAAATGAAACACAAAAGCTGCAGGATTCGTATAGTGGACAGTATTTTTAGAGAATTACCGTTGAACTATACATTTTGAATTTACTTTTAATAAGACTTCCTAATGTGAGCAATCACCAACATTATCATTTCAAAAGCATTTTCTGGATTGAGCAATCTCATAAATATCAGTGTTGACATTTTGTTGGTTATAATGGAGAAGCAAACAGCAGATGTATATTTCAGTTGTTACACAAATAGATATTCTAGTACACAAAACTGTTACTTGTAAATCAAGCAGCAACAAATGCAGAAGTTACTCATTTTAATGTGCTCTGAATCATTCCAGTCAATTTCCAGAATAAAGACAGTCTTAAACTTTTATAGATGCAATTATATATATGCTGTTGACTAAAATATTAATGGCCACTTCCACAAGATTGTTGAAAAATCTTAACTGCTTAATAAACTTGTTTAGGGCTCTGGGTTGATTACATTTCAGTAAGATACAATGATAATAAAAATATCTTTCATTAACCATGAAAACTGTGTCCAATGTAACATGGATAAGAAGGCTCAATACAGAAGGGTGGCTATGAAGGAAATAGAAAGATCATTAAGAATAAGGAAGTGTCACTGAAGCCCATGATTAAGATGATCTGTGGTATGATATCCCCAATTGCTTATATATGGTGTGGCAACTTGACAGTGAAGAAAGGTGATGAATGGGAAAATGATTAATTTGAAATATGGTGTTGGAAGAGAGCTTGGGGGGGGGGGGAAATAACTGAGTTCCAGATAAAATCTTACCTGAATTTCCCCTAGAAGTGAAAGTGAAACTATACTGCAGCTGTTGTATTTTGGGTATCTTATGGAAAGACAAGACTCACTAGAAAAGACAAAAATGCTGGGGAAAATTGAAGGCAGTTGGAAAAGAGGAAAACCGAATATAAGATGGATTGACTCAGTAAAGGAGACTGTGCCCTTTGTTGTCATCACAGTCCTAGCTATATTTTCGTCAGCGGATGGAGGAAGAGGCAGCTCCCAATCAAAACGAACAAGCAAGCTAGCAAGTAAGACAGGAAGACAAATGTGAGAAATTGAGGACTACATCTTCAGGACATAGCTTGGGATGGGTGAGTGGGTTGACCAACTCCTACCCTTGTGAGCTTGTTGTGATGACATCATCAATCCCAAAGACCTCAAAATACCAAGAAGTTGCTGCTGGAGGAGGGAAGCAGCTATCCTGAGGTTAGCCTGTGTTCTGACCAAGACTGTGAAAGGAACCTTCACCCAGCAACTTTGATGAGGAGTTGCCATGGTAATAAGCCTGGTAGAGGCTTTAATGGTCCAGAGAGGATTCATTCTGAGCCTCTTCCAGTCACACAGTTGGTGAGGAATTAAGAAGCTAGTGCAGACATTGCCACATGGATGAGGAACAGAGGATCTGGCTTGTTATATGTTAGCTGAAGGGACTGGTTACCAGAGGAATGCTATAGTTGACCACATACCAATCCTCTTCTCAACACTGCCATGAATTCTGCCACCAGCAATCCCTGGAATAGCTGAAACCAGAATCCTTGGTTTGCTGAGCAAACCTCTGGGGCAAGGATAGGCAGGCAGAGAGAGCCACGTTGAAATGCATCTTGTTGGAAATGGGTCTCAGAGACCTCAGGAGGCTACCTAACACACCCCTTAAGCACTGTGATCCTCAAGCCCTTGCCATCTTCTGACCATATGCTTCTCATACACTACTCATCCTGGCCACATTTGCTT